ATATATATATATATATATATATATTTTCTTAGATATATAAGTACAAACATTTTACATATGCTGATACACGTATGTGATTGTTACGACTTTGACATTTTCTAAGCTTGAGTGGGGACTAACTGTTAAATGCGACTGATTTGGCAGTGACTTCACGTATTACTTTTAATAATTAATAATGACTAAAGTGACGCGTTAAATGTATTAATTAAGAAGCTGTACAAAACGTATTAATTACTAATTCGTAAATATATATATATATATATTGACTGTTGTTCTAACGTTACAGCACCATGTCCATTACAAGGAACTACGCACTATGCAGGCTCGTTGCAAACTACCTATTAAGAATTCATTGCTTATTCTTTTTACTATCATAACCATCGCCACTATGCGTAAAGAAAAATAGGCAGTGAAAAATTGGCACAAAAATAAATCGAGCTGACTAATCTTTTCGGATACAGGCATAAACATATCTTAAAAATTTTAGATAGATCATTATGTATGGTAATTTTTATTAGACGGAGGGAAAAGTTTATTGTTGTGATAAGTAATGATTCTCTGAGTGCGTAAAATTGGTGCTAGGTCTAGCTAATGTTTTGTGTGGTGCAAATTATTGTGGTGATGTGGCCTTGATCGTGGTTTCCTAATTTGTGCGTTGCGTAATCGTGATCGACTGTGTGTAGTGGTCGAACTCTCTCTTTCCCTGAAAAGAATTTTAGTAATTAGGATGCTTGAGGATGTTCATATGCACTGACAATGAAATTAGTACCTATATTCCAATTATAGTTAAATCTGTTAATTCGTCAAAGGCGTAAAGATATTTTTTTTATAATATATGTTTATATTTATAATATTCTTATATCTAGATAAAAATTTTTTTGTGTTTCAAAAATTTCAGAAGAATACAAAATTTATTAAATAAAATTTATTTCTAACTGTACAATTGTTACTGTACAATTATTAATCATGAATTATATTCGAAACTGTTCATATCTTATAATATTTTAAAGAATAATTTTCCAGAGTGTGTCTTATTATAATTTTTTTATTTCATTCATTTTTCGCAGGTGAACTATATACAAATAATCACTTAAAAAACTCAAAATGAAATAAATATGAGACACAATCACCGTGGCAATATGTTCCATCATGTGCGCTTCTAACATCGACTAAGTGCAATTAAGAAATAATTCGTGCACGTGCGTTCGATCGAGCAAAGGTACTTACCGTCTAAGAGCTTTTGGAGTCTCATGAGCGATGAAAGCTCTGTCGTCATGGAAAGCTGGATCGTAGACGTTTACCGAATGCTCACATCTTGGTCCCGTCTTCCCGATTGGACAGTAACAATGGAAACCGCCGACTTCTTCATCGATGCACTCACCTTCTCCGCAGGCACCTAATATCATCATTCAATGTGTTTAATATTATAAATCTTATTGTTTAAAAACTTTAATTTTTAGCAATAAAATATTAAAATTTTTTAAAAATAATATTTAATACACATATGTATTATGCATGCGATTTTTAAGATTAATAATTATAATTATTACAAAATAATTATTAAATAGATCGTAATTAGTATTGATAGACATCATTGTAGTCATAGTAAACGGGATAAAAAGTATAAATTAAAATGTGATAAATTATCATACCTGGATAGCAAGATTGTCCGATGTTGTCGCAATGTTTGCCGCTGAAACTGGCTCGGCACAAACATGTGTAGCCGTTTTTCGTGGCTGCTTCCTGACACACACCACCATTGTTGCAGGGATTCTCGGCGCAGGTTTCGCAAGTCGTAATGCCCACGCTGTCAGTCTGATCGCCAATCAGATCGACCTGTTTCTCCCCGAGGACTAGTCGGCTGATGCATCCGACGAAACCAGTGTTCGCTTCGGCTTGCATGTTGATTCTGCTGTAACTGGGCACTCCACCGATGTAAAGGGGTTCTTTAAGATCGAGACCTTGGCGTCTGCCTAAAGCGACCATCTTGTACGGGCCTTCGCCGTCTACTAGCATCGTTCCTTCCTTTCGATTGCGTTGGATCTTAATGGTGTGCCATTCACTCAAGGTGACAGGCTTATCCGCGCGAATAACAGCTGGTCCAGAACCGAGATTGAATCTGTTAAGAAATTCGTTATGTTAATAACGCGCATTTAGGAAATTATCGACTTTTTATTACAATTTCTATACTGAATTTAATGTCGATTATTTTTAAATTAAAAATAATTAAAAATTATTTTTAATCATATAATTAAGTTTATATAATTAAATCAAAATTTTATTTAAATAAAGTTTCAGATAAAAGTCAATTGACATACTTGTTGGAACTCTACAAGTAAAATAAAAGGTGCTACTCGTGACGCGATTTGTTACATATTTATTAAAATTTTATTTTATTTACTTGAATTGTGGATATCCATTATTTAGAGATAAAACGATAAAATCGCCGTCACCATGACCAGATTCGTCGTTGTATAACAGAATGCCATCGTAACTTTCCGGTTTGAAAGAAATTTCGATATTGAACTTGAGATAGGAGTCAGGTAAAGGAGGGAAAGCGATGTAGCTTTCGGGTGCCTGACTAAAATTAGGCACAACTCCTGTTACAACTAGCACCGTAGGTACTTCGACTCGCGATTCTTCATTATTTCCGGAGCAAATATACGTTCCAGCGTCTTCAGCCTTTACATTAGTTAATTTTAATTTGTTCTGCAAAATGAAAAATATATATCAAATTATCGCGAATGACATAAAACATTTTACTAAAATAATATAACATTTACAAAAATTCAATTTAATACTGAAATTATTTATTTTTAATACTCAAAATAAGTAATCACTATTTTCCAGTATTAAATTTCTATAAGGAAATTATCATTAAATTCCTGATTAGATAGAAATAAGTATATGATACGCATTTTATGTACCTCGTAAATCTGACTGTCACGTGGCAAAAGTCCACCGAGTTTGTTCCATTGAAATTGTATTGGCGGATCGAGATCTAATCGGCAATCCATTTCCAGACTTGATCCGTACGGCGCCAATTTGGTTTCAATTGCTGGTTCATCGAGGATTCCGCCTGGAAAATCATAAAATCCTTTGTCCACAATAATTTTCATAATAAAAAAAATTAATTATTCGTCGGCTTTATACTTACATAAAACGTATTTTAGTAGCAGTTTGAGTGGGCATTAGCAAAAAGTAGATATTTGTGCATTAAAAGAGATATACGTAGAAGAATATACGTGTAATCTTTCATGTAAATAGTTCATTATCTATGTTTGTCACATAAATATTAATTGTTTGTCTATTAATTACCGTGGACAATCAAATTGAAGTCCTTCGCGAGTATGCCTTCGGATGTGTCAACTGTGCATCTGTAGGGTCCGCTATCACTAACGACTACATTAGTTAGCCTCAAAACGTTGCCATACTCCTGTGCGTTTGTTGGTAGGCTCACATGATTCGGTCTCGTCCAGCGATAACGTGGATTACGTGTTCCAGTGTATGTGCAATGTATATCAACGGTGTCACCGATGTTTATTGGATCTTGAGACATCTCGATGCTTACTGAAGGTACTGCAGCAGCTAGAATCGAATTATGCATGTTGGCTATATCTGTTAAGATCGCAGAATTAGGAAATGTATATCCTGTTTTGCACATCGTAACATTAAGATACTACTTATCGATTTCTAAAATGAACTTCGAGATGCATTTGCAGCGTTTTATTTGATGTATCTATATCTAAATTCCTTATATCATGTTTGAAATTCATCAGGAAAAATTACGTAAATAAAAAAAATTATTTCTTATTGAGGAAATAATTAATATTAGCATTCAAAGATTGTAGAAGAATACATAGAGATTTATTCAGAATAAAAGTTTTAACAAAAAAAAAATAGTGTCGAACTAAAATCTGAAGTATATGTATGTTGATTTACACATATCGTATTTGCTGCTGACAAGGATGGGATACGGGTGCACTTCTTCCGCACTAGATTCTCCTACATTTTATAAAAAGATAATTGGCGGGAAACTCGTAACATTTTAGAATCTTTTCACTTATTTGTACACATTACCGAGCTTGGTGTCTTCGGTCAAACAGTCTTCATCATAATTTAATTTAATTTAATTTAATTTAATCCGTATCCTTTCCTCATGGGTTCGTACAGTAAGCAAGAAAGGACAGTTCACTACGAGTAGGAGAACTACGGGACATCACACGACACACATATTTCTCAAAACAAACCGCGTCGTCTCTGAAGATATTGGCGATAGCGCGCGTTGCGGCAGAAGCGTTCGTCAGTACCGTCGTTGCACTGAACATAGCCGTCGCAAAAGTATTCCATCGGAATGCATTGTAGGCTTCTGCATTGATACTCCCAGTGCCTGCACTGCGATCGGTACACTGGCATGCAATCCGCAAGCAAATTAACTACTAAATCACAACGCGAGCTTTGTAAAAAACCTAAACTTGTGGAAACGTTCATGGAACCACGTTTGTAATATACATATATGATCTCATTATAGAGCAAACCATACAAAAATTCAAGAGACATCTAAACATTTAAGGCATTTTTTAAGGAGTCATATTACTCTCACTCTAAAATTCGAAATTTTTTTAAAGTCAACTATTACGTAGATTAATTTTTATTTTAGGGATACACAATCTATCCAAATTTGCCCAGAATTAGGGAAAATTGAGGCAAAGCAGGATAGTGGGGTAAATCGGTACTATCATTTTTCTTGTCTGCTTGTTGCAATATCTCAATAGTAATTAACTGAATTACGTTTTGTGTTCCGAAAAATGTTACAGATTATTTTTTCCGAGTGGTATGATAATGTATAACATGATATTGCGTAGTGTTAGTTTTTAATATTCATTTTGTATTTTCGAAGGTATAATTAATAAGTGTCTTAAATTTAGTATTTTCTACTTTAAACTTCCAAAATCAATTAAAGATAGTTTTAAACTCTTTTTTTTTATTTTAGGTCATCCTTGTCTCTGGAAACCTACTACCTGTTCGATCATGCCGCGGCGGAGGGAATTGTTCCAGTCTAAATTTTTTAATAAATATTTAAAAAATATTTAATATTTAACAAATTTGTAATTTATATATTATATAATGTATCCTTACATTTTTAAAAAATTTATCTACGCAATAGTTGATTATAGAAAATTTTGAATTTCAGATTGTTTATGTTCCCTTTAATGCTTTCGCATGATGTCTTTTGCTGTTTGTATTGTCTGAGAATAATCTGCTGCGCGCTTGTTAGTGATATGAATGATGCGGATTAGTATAAATTTATAAAATAATAGACTTATTTTCAAATTGTTATTGTTTAAATATGTATTATATATAAATTTGAATCATTTAAGTTTTTGATAAATAATTCCGTGCTGCTTCTTTTTTTTTATTAAGGTAAATGTGAAATTGGCATTTTATATCCGTCGCGTCCTGAATGAGAAATTGAAATCTTCAGATGAATCAGAAATCCAAAATGTTCTATTGATGAAAAATCGCTGAGAAATAGCAAAGTATTTTGTAAAAAAAGCATTTTGGGATTTAATCCTTTCGGGATATTAAAAGTCAGAATAACATTATAGTATCCCGAAAGAATTAAAGGCAAAAATTAGGATTTATCAACAGGCGATACATCATTTAGCGTGTGTATTGCGATCTTCAATAGATGCATTCGAATGAAAACAAAAATCTGTGAAATGATGCTGAAACGACAAGATTTAGTGAAAACAAAGCTGAACTTACGAGAAACGTTGAAATTAATATAATCGCTGGATACACCGCGACTCGTCTGGATCTGACAGATATATCTTCCGCTGTCTTCCGGTTTCACTTGCGTCAGCTCCAAGTAATCTTCTCCGATTCGCGCGTTGGTCGGCAACGGTAGCCCTTCTCGACTCCAATGAATCGTCGCACGTTCGCGCACCTCACAACGTAAGCGTACAGAATTACCGGCATGAGTTACTACGTCTCTTTGTTCAGCGCGGATCCTTGCATTGTCGTAAGGATGTTCTGCAAATCGTAAATATTAATTTATAGTTTGCTGCACTGAGCAATCCTCAAATATTTAATAAACACATTTTAGGCTTGATGAATATTTAATATATTATTTTGTTTTACCAAATATTAAAAAATCATTATGTTTAAAAATATTACGTTTTTATTAATTAATATTTTTTTTATGTACGAATACGACAATTAATGTTTTTTATATACGAATATTCTCAATAATCACCAATTATTAGTAACATAATTATTAGTTATATAATTTTCTACTCAATAATATTTTTTTATATTATATTTAATTGTAATAATACATATTATATTATATTATAGTTATATTGATGAGTGAAGAATTATAACTAATAGTTATATTACTGTTGATTGTTTGCTGAATTTCACATAAAAAAAAATATATTTTTTTAAGATATATTATATAATTGTGTTATATATTTTTAGATTTTTCTTTTAACATTAAATAATTTTTTTTACGTAAATGTAATTATTTAAGAGAAAATAAAAAAAATTTATACATTGTAAATTTAAAAATCTAACTGATTATTAACTAACCATTAACTAAAACTTCTGCTACCGCTTCTGCTGTTCCTGCTGCGTTCGTTGCTTTGCACACATATTTGCCAGCGTCGGAATATGTAATGCCATGGAATTGTAAGATTCCACCGCTGTCCGATACAGAATATGGTAATGGACGTCCTATGGCTTTCCACTCGATGTGCAAAGGTTCATCTCCCGTAGCGGTACAAATTATAGATGGATTTTCTCCAGGTCCTACTGTTTGACGCGTTGGATTTAATTCAATTCTTGGTGGAGCTAAAATCGAAGAAAAAAATTAATTAATCTTTATGCAGTTTTTCTTAAAGAAACTGTTAAAAAAAAATTCGATTTCAAATTTATTTATTCCATATAGTTTGAATCTTGCAGTTTGTTTGATGTGTCTTATACTCGTCTCATACTTACATATAATTTCAAGATGAGATTTCGCTCGGAAGAGCACTGTGCCGGCAGGATCCAAGCCCAAACAGATGTACTCTCCAGCAGCGTTTCTATTAACAGTTGGGATACTTAACACTCCATTGTGCACTGTGCTACCTTCTGGGAGGGAACGATGATCACTTCTTTTCCAATCCAGGTAGATGTGATCTCCATCTGGTCCGAAGACCTGACAACGCATCTCCACTTTGCCACCGTCTGGGATTCTCAAGTAATCTTTGGGAATCAATACTCCTCCTTCTGTTTGATTCGGGTCTCTCTGTAAATCATTTTTTTGTTAAAAACGTGTCATTGTGTATTGAGGCGACAAAATTATAATACTTGCAGAATCAGGTTGTGGTCGCTGTCGATCATCGTCGCATGGAATATCGCCTCTATCGCCAGTGCAAGGCACATAATCGTCATCATCTTCGATGCGGATTTGGACACGCTCTTCGGATATTCCTACGGCGTTCGTAGCTGTGCAAGTGTAGGATCCTTCATCGTCGGGTGAAACAGAGAATATCTCGTAAACGGCACTTAAAGGAGTAGCTGCTGTTCTGCTATATGTGTCCCTATAAATCATAATAATGTCACAAAATTATTATGTGATTTAATAACTAGTATTGATATAATCAAGTTAAATCGTAATTTAAGTTTAATTTTTAAATGCTTAATATCATAATATAATTTATATATAGTGTAATAAAATTTTCTTTTGTTGCCTAGACACTACAAAATCGTATTTCAATAATGTAAAAATTTACGCTTTAAAATTAATAGTTAAGATAATTAAAAATTAATTCCTACAATTGTTATTAGTTCATAAGTACAATAATGAAGTGAACTTACTGTATCGTTATTCCGTTCACATATTTGCTCCAAGCCACATTGGGTTGTGGATGACCATTCGCGCTGCACATCAAACGAACTCGACTTCCGCGTTTTACCTGTAAGATACCGTGCTGCGGTGTGACAGTGATCACAGGCATAGATTGCACCTCGATATGCGCGATGACTGACGTCGAACCGACTTCGTTTGACGCGGAACAGACGTAGGCACCGCCGTCATTCGCTGTGATGTTCGACAGTCTGAGGAGTCCACTAGGAAGTTGCTCAATGTTGGAGGCGAATGGTCGATTGTCTACGCGAGACCATCGCAACTCGGGCGCTGGAAAACCGGCCTTTGCGCGACACTGAAGATCGGCGGAACCGCCGAGGATGACCGTTTGTATATCTTGTGGATACAGCTCTAAAACTGGAGCTTCACGAGCTACAATAAAAAGATGACAATTTGATTTTGCAGAATTAATAAAAAATTGGAACAAAAATGAGTTTTTTATATCGATTTATATGAAAAATCAGTAATTTGCCAATTTTTTTGCAATATTTAAAAATGTGCATTTTTTTCTGATTTATATCACATGATTTTTAAATATAATTTGGAGAATAAAAATTTATTTAATCCAAATATTTTTAAACGCTTTGCTTAGTTATTTGAATATAACTTACATATATAGCACTTAAAGGAGAATTTTGTTTTTTTTTTTTAGATACTATGAGCTTACGTTCAACTTCGATGATGGCACTGGCCTCGTAATTGCCTGTGGGGCCAGTAACCCGGCAGAGATATACTCCTCGATCGGAGACCTGGACATTAATGATCCTGAGCGTGTCCTCTATCTGTTGGACACGGGAACTCATCGTTTCCGTGTACTTGCTCCATTTCACCTGTAGACCTGGCTCTCCGCTGGTGATGCATCGTACTTCAGCCACAGTGCCCTGTTTCACCTCCTGTCGAAACGGCCTGACCGTGACCAATGGTGGTTCTCTCCGAGACATTATTGTAATCCTGGCAGTGGTACTCGTCTCCGTTCCGCGAACACTTGTCGCGGTGCACACGTATATGCCGGAATCGCTGGGGGTAGGATTGGTGATCGTCAAAATACCGTCACGTTGACTGGCGGTATAAGGCAATGGCAATCCGCCGGATCTCGTCCAAGTGACATTCACATGTTGAGATGGTGTGCAGATCAACCTGACGACATCTTCGCTGGTTCCTGACCATTCGGACGGAGTTATAGTCGGCGGTAAGCCTTGAGGTGGTGGTTTATTAGGATTATCTACAACGTAGAATGGGAAGTCTTTATTAATAAGCACGAATTGTAGCTGTAAGTTTCAGAGTAATACTATAATTAAATCAATATTAATCCTCCATCTGCAATCTTTTTTGGTCTTTGCAGATCTTTTTTGATACAATCGAATTTGACTCTCAAATTTCTTCAAAATAAAGTTCGGTTCTCCTCTTCTACAATAAGAGAAATTTATTTAATGATATGTAATAAAGATATTAAAAAGTAACTTAAAATTTTTCCAAATTTTTTTGAAAATCTAGAACAGTGAACAATTTGGACTGGAGAAAAAAGATTCAAACAGAGGATTAAAAAATAATTCTCATATGATCTATAATAGTTTGAGATTTAAATTTCATTGATGTTCGAAATTTCTGAATGCTTTAACCGTACCTTGAACGTATAAGATGGTTGTCTTCTCGTCTATGCCAACGTTGTTCCTAGCGACGCACTTATACTCGGCTGCATCGTTCTTCGACGCAGCTGGAAGACTCCATACGCCATTGTAGAATGTCGCCTCTGGACTCATACTTCCGTGAACTCTTATCCAATCCAGTTGAGGTGGCGGATTACCAGTGGCTTCGCAACGGAACTCAACAGGTTCACCTTCCCTCACTTGTTGATATGATGGACTTATAGCGACTCTAGGCTCTACCGGGTTAGTTCCTTAAAGAAGGCACAAAATTACATAAATTCTATTTATAGATTTGACATGATTATGATTTGATTATACCTGGTATTTCCAGTAAGTGTTGTGAAAACGCTGCATCCAATAATACAATGTATAATAATTAAATAAGATTGAGATTTATTAATTAATCTATTCTTTAATTTATTTCACAAAATTTATAGTAAAATAATTTACGAGATTATATTAAGTTTGATGTATAATACAATTAAAAGTTTGCGCTATACCTCCAACAGTTAGTGTGACTTTTTTATATCCAATGTTTGTTCCGTCGCTCACTTGACAGACATATATGCCGCTATCAGACACCTTCACATCTCTAATTACCAAAAGTCCATTCGAATCGTCCACGCTCCTATCAGGCGGTAATTGACCACCTTCTTTTTCCCATCTAATGTTCACCGATTCCTATTCATAAAAAGAGATTACAATTATGAAAGCATTTTATAAGTCAAGTCAACAAAGGACTTACATGTTCTCTAGATCTGCCTGTGCAATGATATCGGACGGTTTTTCCTGTATGGACGATTTGGAATTCATTTTCTTGTATGTAAACTGTGATTTTCGGTGGAGATACTGGGATCTGCGTACTAGTTGTCTGCAGTTCTTCAACTGTGAGGGAAATAAAAAATTGATTTAAAAAATCAACAAATGCAATTTTTTCTCTATTTCTCTCATAATCGTAAAATTGCAGTAGACTTGGCAATAAAACAATATGACGAATAATAACAGAGAGATATGGAATTATTGAATTTAATTCTGTGATTTAACAATTCTGTGGATACATTGCAATGAATAAGCGACATTCGTCTGTAACACAAGGATGCAATCACCATTACAGTTTGATAAGACATCATTACAATGATGGTTATTTCGAAGAATGAGACACTTGTATTAATTACTACGGTACACATATTTTACTGTACATCGACAGGACATCCGTGACATACTGAATATACCATATACCAGGAAAACAGTCAAGCTTTTCCGCAAATATTAATCCTGTGAAAAACTATGGAACCGTGATGAAGACTACAAATCCAAGAAAGTGCCTTCACCAAACTCGGTGACAATTTACAATAATGATTTACGATGACCTGGCGACAACGCAGATATGATTGTGAGATGATAATCCGAGCCCTTGCCATGAATCACCGATGGACGGACAAGATGCGAAAGCTCTCGCTATTTAGTCCGTCAAACCTGGCGTAATCGACGTCACAATTTTGACCAGTTCTTTGCCGCGGTCATTCACGATGTGACATTCCACGTTGCAGGGGACGTTCCCCATGTGAACGAACCAAGTGCGGACAGCTCCTTTCTCTGTCTTCATTATCGGGCCGATTTCGCCACTCCGTGCAGTTATGGGAAATCCATCGAACGACGACAATTTAAAATAGATGTAAAACATGTCTGGATAGTCATAGTTGCACGTAAATTGGATCGTGGAATACGGTTCGACTTCGCCGTTCATCGGCATTAGGCTTACCATGAGCTCACCTGACCAACGTATTGTCATTACTATTCTTATTGTTAGGAGGGAAGGATGAGTGTAAAATATTTTTTTTTACTATAATGTATAAATATAAAATCTTAACGAAAAATTCTGTTCTCACGTTTCCAAAAACATATTCAAATATAACAAATCAGATAATTTGATCTATTGTAGATTATTTTTTTTTTATCGTAGAATAATATATTTCTTCGTTAAAAATATAAGTTGGTCCAATTTATCATTCAATTCTTTTTCAAAGTTATGTTTTTGAGAACGAAAAAAAATTGAAAACATTAATTGTGTTAATGAAATATTTCTAATTTCTATAGCATTAAGAAGCACTATTACTTACCGACACCACTGTCTTGGCAATACTGTCCCGTGTATCCTGGCAGGCAGTGACATTTGATATGGCCAGATCTGCTGATTTCGCAGCTCTCTTCATTTTTGTTGCATGGACAGGGATTGCACGCGCCCAAGTAACTGATAGTCCGATCGCTGGTGTCTCTATAATAACCGCGAGCGCAGGTTTCGCAGGAAGTGCCTGTGTAACCGGTCGGACAACGACAAGCTTCAACTTGAGTCGCACGTCGGTTTCCAATCAGATTTTCTACGGCCGTGTCCATGCTGATATCACTAATATATGTTGCGGTCATTCGCTCGCTGTGAGACGCGCGGACTAAGATAGCTTCTAGATTGGAAAGCACTATCATGAGATCCGTCCTGGAAGCGCTGCGCGGTCCTTCGGTGGTCAGTCTTCTCCATTCATGCTCTTTCAAAGGAACGGTGTAGGTCTGAAAGATGTACGTCTTTATAATTGTGAAACATTTGGATTTTAATTTAATTTATAACATTAATATAGAGTTTGGGGGTTTATACATATAATATTATAAATTAAATTATTTAAAGATAAATGATGTAGATATTCGATTAAATAATGGGTAAAGAAATTTTATTAGAACAACTTTGGTAAAAAATATTTTACCAATTTGGCAAATTGAGGTTCAGGCATCAAGTTTTTCTATCTTCTAAAAAAATTATAAAATATAAGATCTATTCTACGTACCAGTGGAATTTCAGGTTGGAGCTCTACCGGATTCGTCCAGAATAATGTAATGCCATTGCCAATCAGCAAAATGTCTTGATCTTTGTAACTCTGAGCGCCAGGATATGCAGTGATATGCTGCGTCAAAGTCAAATTTCCGCCGTAACTCTTCACTTTGTTACCGGTGAAAACACTCGGAAGTGACCAAAACAATCTGCGGCTTCTGCTGTCCGGATAGCGATAGCCGATTTCATTCATTGCCACATTTAGCTCGAAGCCGTCGTCAATTATGTCGCGTCTAGTCCTAAATAAAGATATTAAATCAATTCATTTCAAATTCTAATTTTATTTGCTATTATTATATGTACAAATTTTATTTATCAAAATAAAACAGGAAAAAAATAATAAAATTTTTATTCAAGCTTATATTAATTTAAAAAAAAACTTGAAAGAATGAAGCTTATACTTACGAGTCCGTAAGAGTGAAGCCATGATGGGAGTCATATACCCACATCGGTATTTGTTGTACGTATAATGTACTCTCATGACATTGATCAGTTACCCCGCTGCAGTAACACTCGATGCATCCATCAATGTTCTCGGCGCGTAATCCGTATGTCGACGGGCGGCATCGATTACATTCTGGACCCTCGACGTTTCTCTTACACTCGCATCGACCGTCGACGCAAGAAGTGCTGCGTGAACCAGCCTCGTTGCATCTGCATGGCTCAGGTCTTTGACTTCTATACGAGCAATCGTTCGAGGTGCCTCGAGTAGCGTCTCCTTCATATCCCGGTTCACACAGTTCGCAGTACTCTCCCGTAGTATGATGAGCGCAATTCTGTCGACGTAAAGTATCAATTTTTATAATCAAATCAAATGCTTCTGATTTTCTATCTACATTTTACATTTACATAGCCATATTTTTATATAATTCTAATTAACTAATTCTAATTAACTTCAGTTAAGTTTTATATTTTTATATTTTATATTTTTATACCAAAAATATAAAATTGCATTTTGGAAAATGCATATTGTATTAAAATTAAGCAGTTACCAATATAGCTACTTTAAGTCTAAACGATTAAACTTTTTCATTAAATTTAAACTAAAAAAAACAAAAGAATTTCATTAATTAAAACGTAACGTTGTCGCTCAATTAAAATTGTTTTTATTACCTCACAAGTGCCAGTTTCGGGATCGCATTGATTCGTGTGATTATTACAGTTGCACGGTTCGCAGATACCTAAATAGAGACCTTCAATGGCTCGGGTGTAACCAACGTCGCAATCTTCGCATGAAAGTCCTCTGTAGCCAGCGGGGCAAGTACATTCTTCAACTTCGACTGCACGAGCTTTACCTGTGTTATATTTTTCGGCGGTGTCCAAAGACACGAAGGAGAGCCTGAAGCATACATAATGCTCTTGTTCAATTATGGTAATTAACAAATTTTTTAAAGCATTCTTGTTTTTAATTTTATTTCAATTGAATATCGAATAAATCCGCAATTTTTATTTTAAAATGTCGGAAATTTATATATTATCTATTTTACAAACATTTTTAAAGAGTTCTTCGAAATGTTTCTTTCGGATAATTCTTCTAAAAAGCTTAAATTATCTTTTTTAAATAATCGTTTTTTCTTTATTGTTAGTTATCATTTAATTGCAAATATATAAAATTGAAAATCAAGAATGCATAAAGTACTTACGCAGCTTCGTCTGTATGCGTCGTGTAAGTAGCTTTGATTCTGATGGCTCGTACATCTGCCAAAGCCATTAAAAGGTGTTCCCTATCCGCTTGAGTTCCATCATTACGTTGCCAATATTGCTCGAGCAATGGTACAGTGAATGATTGCTGAGAGTTAGGCTCGGGAGACTCGCGGGAATAGTAAAGCAAGTTGATGTCATTAGCCTGTATGCATTTTAAATCAACCTGTTATATCTTCATCAAGTACGCTGATTAAGGCTCACGAATGTGCACTCACGCTAATGAGTTCGACGTCCGCAGCGTTGTTCCTTGAACTTTGACCGCCTGGAGAGGGCACGTATCTAACAGTGTATTTGAGATTACCACCGTAAGATGTTATTTGATCTCCTAAGAAAATGCTGGGCAATTGCCAATAGTAGACGTCGTTGTTACCACGATTGGGAAACTCGCTATAAACTATTTCTCGATTAATGGTGTTTAGATGAATTCCTTCTACAATGTCTGGTGTGTCTGTGCTCTTGGATTCGATCAAAGAGAAACCTCGAATCGAGTTGGTAAATGATACACGAATCTGCAAAGTGCAAATGATAGATTTAAGTTTTTATTTTAATCGAGATAACTTATATTTCTATAGAAGTTGTACAAAATAGTACACAACATTTTGTTTTGTGTATTAACTTTATATGTAAAATATAAAATCTCGCTTATATACACAATTTCTTATGTTGGAAAGATTAAATCACGCGAAACGTCAAAATAATGTTAAAAAAATTTTGATTGAAAAGTGATTTTTTTTTTAGTAATTTTTTGAAGCCATTTTAACGTAATTTTTTGATATCATGATTTGTGTTTTTTCTATTTAAGATCTATATGACAAAGATGGAAATAGACTATATATTATATCTTCATCATACCTCATTCCTGTACCAGTTAGAGGAGACGCATCTGTTGGTGATGCCCATGCAGAAGCAAGCTATGCATCCAAATTGGTTTGTCGAGGCCAGATTAAAGGTATTCGCCTTACATTGATTGCAAGTGAGACCCGTTGCATATTGCTAAAAAAAAGAAATATTAGAGAATAGACGACGGTTCTCGACCGAGTACTCATTTTTATTCTAAACCTCGATTTATATACATTTTTATATATAGAAAAACTATAAAATATACTTACATTTTTAAAGTTAAACGTAATCCACAGAAGATGGATGCAAGAACAATAATAAAATCGTTATGCGAGATGTCCAAGAAATTGCGCAATTTATCTCGCATAAATTTTTTGATAAAACAATTTATTTAATCTTTTTTTGAAGATTATAGTCGGAAAAAAATGTGTGATTTCTGAGACACCTTGTGCAAAATTACGCATAATAGCAGCGGTATTATCATGTGTATGTTATACCTTGCAATGACATTTTCCGGTATGTGGATCGGCGTTAGGACTAAGACTGCCATTCGGATCACATTGTTGAAGGGGAACGCACATATCTCCAGGAATAAGAGGATTTCCTTGGTAACCAGTGGCACACTGCTCGCATCTGCGTCCAACGTAGCCAGGAGGACAATCACACGTGGGTTGTCCGTCAAAGCCAAGATGACACGTGCGAGCGAATCTATTTGTAATATGATAAATTACCAAAGTATTTTGAATTGAAATATCACTAATGGCAAATTTAATTGTCTTACTGATTCGATGGGTTGGTAAGCGGGCAAGGACAAATCTGGCAAGGGATATTCCTTGAAGGATCGCCATAGTATCCCGGAGGACACGGTGGTTCATCCCTGTAACATTGGCCAAGCCATGGTCCGCTTTCGCGTCTCAGATAACCAGGTGCGCAATGCTCGCAAGATAGACCAGTGTATCCTTGAAGATAATTCAGATAATAACATAAATAGAACTTCGTAAATACTTGATTGATCATTGAAGAAATATGTACCTGTTGGACATTGACATTCCTCGACGAAGGACGCGGATCCTAGGCCAGTATTTCGCGTATCAGCGGTGTCCATAATGATATTAGTGAGACGAATGTCTAGTTGCGGAGAGTCATCATATTTCACTCTGCAACATATTGAACGTATTAAAAAAAAATTATTCTAATATCTTTTGATAAAATTATTCTAATATCTTTTATCAAAATTCATTGGACTTAATGCCTACTTTATTAGAATGTTGTCAACGTTTGCCAACGCCATCATGATTTCCTCCCTGGAAGCTAGGACTTCGCTTCTTCCTTGTTGCTTGTACCAATCGCCATAGAAGAACCTGACTGATTTCTCGTTCTCGTAATCCGGTATTGGCTCCTCACTTTTATGCACCAAGATATAATTGTTACCACTTAAGATGACGGAAGGGGCGTAGTTCGGTGTGCCGTTACCGCTATGGCGAATTGAGTATTTTAGGTAGCCGCCGTAGGACTTCAATTGACTGCCATGATAGTTCTCCGGTAGCGCGAAGTAGGGAATATTGTAGACATGCAAATCATTACTGAAAGACTCCAACAGCTGAACGCCATCCCGGGCAAGCGGACGGATCTGGGATATCTGACTGCTAATGTCACCGTGGATTCTAATTGTCGGAATGGTCTCAACCGACACAATCTTATAGCGGTCGAACGGCGGCGGAATCTGATAAGTGAAGAGATCGGCGCTGCGGCATTCGGTGGCGACGCCGAAGCAGAAGCATGAAATACACTCTTCAGCAGTCTTCGCTTCGGAATTGAATTTGCCTTTAGGGCAGATATTGCCGTTTTCCTTCACGACAACGATGGCATCTGGCACGGCGAAGACGAAGCCTCCAACGTTCAACGCCTCACACGAGTATGCGCCTTGGTCCTCCGTCTGTATATCTGGACATGTTAGTGTGCCCGTTCCGTTGGTAGACACAGTTGTGCATTTCGCGGGGATATGACCCCAATTGAGACGCCAGTTGATTTCCGGTATCGGAACACCGATTGCTGTACAAGTGAGAACCAACATGTCGCCCGGCATAAGAACGACCATCGGCGGTGGAGGTTTCACGATATAAACGGGAGCTGAAAGGGAAAAAAAATCATATATAGACTTAATTTAATATTCAGTAAATAAACTGTCCGCAGAATGACAGCAAATTTGATTAGAAAAATGCAGCAGATTCGGTACCATCTTGTGTTTTATTGGCACAACATAATTTGATAGCAAATTGGCAGCAGAAATCGAATCTATCAAATGCAGATTTTGTTTGCTTTCTGCTGTCAATTTTATGGCATTTTAATCGTCAGCATCTAATAAAACAAATTCTGCATTTTGTTTCTCTCTCAAATTTGTTGCTTTCCTGCTAATAACATTTGTCAGATAATTTGTAAAATCTGTTCAAGCAGACTTGGATTGCGTTTTGTTATTCGTTGCAAGAACTGAAAATTTATAGTATACACAATGTGAACTGTAAATTTTCGGTACTCGTAGTAAATAATGGAACGCAGCAGTCTTGTTGACTGGTTACAGTGGCCAACAACAGTAATATTTCACTGTATTGTTATCAGTGAGGCAGAAGATTCTTTCATAATAGAAAAGATAAAATTTAAATTTAACTTCCATATAGAAACGTCAAAATAGTAAAATATATGATAAATAATAATTTTGACTGTTTCTTGAATATTATATAACTATTATTTAACGAAGATTGTCGGACGATCTGTAACAAAATATTGATGCTTGACGCTCATGAAATTCCTATCATTACTGACAGCATCCAACTTCGTCGCTGCCGTCCAAGCAGTCGCGCTCCATGTCACAGTGGTAGCTTTTCGGGATGCACTGTTTATTGCTGTTGCAGGCAAACTCGTTGTAACGGCACGGAGATCCCGGGGGAGACGGCGCGCAGTTTTCCTCGTCGCTGTTGTCCGCGCAGTCCTTGTCGCCGTCGCAACGCCACAACTTGCTGACGCACTGCTTATTATTGCAGCGAAACTCGTTGGGCTCACATCCGTGCGGACCTGTCGAAACGGACATATGAAGCGTTCGCGTGAAATTTTCACCATAAAGTATGAATGCCGAATATATCCAGCTTTTCGCTGATGCCTATCATACTTACTGCACCGCATCTCGTCGGATCCATCGGTGCAATCGAATTTACCATCGCAAACGTACGATTTGGGAATACAGTCGCCGTTGCTGCAAGTAGCTTGATCGTACTGGCACACTTGTGGTGGTCTGGTGACCGGCTGCTCAACTGCATGTAATCAATTTGATATTACGCGATCTTCAATCATTAAAACGCAAATTTCAAATTTATTAAGGTAACTGCGCTTAATATGACTTATTGTTAGTATTCAATATGGCTTACTTGCTGTTTATATATGTATAGATAGTAATACATCTTTATAGAAATTTATTGAAAGGTATAGTGATTAATTATTCATTTTGAGTATTACTCATTTTAAGTAGTACTTTTAATACTCAAAATAACTAATTTCTATAGAATAAGATTTAACTATTATTAGAACTTATTCTAATTAATTTAAACTTATTTTAAGATTTTACTATTCATGCCTTTATAGAAGTCTAATTTAGTATTTGTTAATTTAATACTAGAAGTTGCTTATTTTTAGTATTAAAAGCACTGAATAATTCAGTACTTTTAAATCTTTACTGCACCTTAAACATTGAAAACATTATCTCTTATTTTCAATTAATGTTTAAAAATTTAAAAATTTTCAATATGGATTCAGTAAAAATCGATTTGCTTAAGTAAGCCATAGTAGATAAAATTATTAATGTTTATTAATGTTTAATGTGACTATATCTTATCGCAAATAAATTCTTCGATCATAGCTGTAAATTAGAAAGACAATAATAAACGTACATTTCTCGACAGTAAGAACGACGGTCACTTGACGACCGGCGGTGGACGGTGGATAACCCAAGGCTTCGCAGATGTAGGTTCCAGCGTGCTCAAGTTGAATGTTGGGTATCTCCAGGCGACCATTGATGTCTCGGCTGCCAGGCGGCAGAGGAAGGCCGTTGCCGCGAATCCAACGTACTCTGGCACGTAGAAGACCCTCGTCACGGCATTGGAACACGACCTCGCGACCTGGTCGGAACGGTTTTACATGATATAAATTCTATTCAAGTTTCGAGAGATTGCACCTTTACGGATCATTACGTTCGCGGTACGTCAAATGTCTCGTCAGTAAGTTATCAGTAAGTAAGCAGATTTCCCCGTTTTTTAAATTGAGATGATACTGATGACATGTTAGTTCAATTCACGTGCAACACTTTAGTTTTTTTAAATTATGTTATTCAAAACGCTGTTTGTATATAGACAGCAAAAAATTTTATACAAGGCATTCGGCATAATAAAATTGAGATTTTTTGAAGAAAAGTTAGTGTCAAAATAGTTTTTATTATAAATGAAATGTATATGAGAATCAGGATTAGACACTGGTAGTGAAAGATTTTATATATTATAATTTTAGCCAGAATTTGTGTTCTAGTTCAAATTTTGACATTAACTATCATGCATGATTAAAATTTGCAAGCATGGCTTCAAACGATATTATTAATGAAATTTTCGATTATTGATTTAATTATATAAAAATTGCATTTTTATAAATAAATATGATTTTAATATGATTGCACAATATGTGTATATCAGCGAAACAAAACGTCATATTTAAAATAATTTAATGTTATAATTAGAAAATTTATTGGAAGTTTTAAAGATCGATTTTGTTGCTTATTTTGTCCCAAGAAAAATTTGCAACAGAAAATCATAAAAAGCGAAATACATAAATATAATGTATAGACACTTGTATATCATAACTGAAATATGTGTTTCAAATCTTGCACATCTAATAATTCATGAAAATTATTTTAGCTCACAGCGTGATTTATAGCTTATATTTTTTGAAAAGTCTTACCTATTTTCGCCGGATCTGGCCAAGGCAAGAAAAAAATAACAAATATATTCATTAATTAATTTTCTTTTGGAATACCCTAATTCGTCGGCAACACAGTTGCTTATTATTAATGTCTATTATCTTGTGTGTTAATTTTTCTAATTTAAATAATTAAGATGTTCAATTGACTACTTTAGTTAGACGATATAAATTTTACTTTAGTTAGACGACTACTAAAAATTGAAATGCAACAAATGCATATACAACATTTCATCAAATCCGTATATGATAATAAAAATAGAATACTTACTTTCTTTAATCACTTGTTCACTGGGATACGTCTTCAGTCTAAGGTCAGATGTTCCATCGGTATCTGCGCACGAATAAAAATAACAAGTTAACAATAAATAATAATAAAAGCATTAACAATCAATATTAATGATTAATAAATGTATGTACAGAATAAACGTTAAATTATCAATTTTGTTAATTCGAGATTTTTACCCGGCACCTTTCTGCATTTTTTATCTATGGGAAATGCAATCTTGTATTTTAGTTCAGTTATTAATTTTTTTTTTAGGAAATATGATATAAAGTGATGTCTACTTCTACGATGTAACGTTACAAAAAAATCGAGAGAGCTCATAGTACTCCTCGTATGATTTATCATAAAATAGATATTTGTTATTCTCAAATTAAAAGTGTGTACATTATCGGGTAAAGGCGGAATTGCAATTTAAATGATGGAAATACAATACAGACTCATTTGCTTGTATCCCATTCGCTGAAAAACGGGAATAATAAATACCTTTTAGTGTTACATAAAACATTACAGTATTATGTTACAGCAGATATTATGTTACGGTGTCATGGATATTTACAAGGTATTATTGATTAGCGCATGGCGTGTTATCGGCCAGTCGTGCGGTCCCCTTTCCCGAAGGCGGCTCCGGATGACTAACTACAGGGAGACTCACAATTATCATAACTGCAATCCATCTCATCGGACATATCTCTAGGACAGTCAAGCCTTTTGTCGCATCGCCGATGCAGCGGAATGCAATGACCGTCATTGCACGTCCATTCATGCGCGCTGCACCTACTGTGATTTCTTTGCATCGCTCTATAGTGACAGCCCAACTCGTCGCTATCGTCGTATAGGCAATCAATCCGGCGATCACAACGTTGATGTTGAAGTATACAATCGCCGCTCTTGCACTTCCACTCCTCGTGCGAGCATACCGCTTCGCGATCTTTAGTTTCGTCGTTAAATATATGTCATTATGCTGCGTTTTCGCAGAATCGCTTAGATTATCTTGATTAGGCGAGAAAGTCAGGAAGTCGCGTTATCAATTATAGTCTTAGCTATTAATATAAAGATTCGAAGTAGGCTCGCGATTCTCGTCTAGCTCATTTTTACTGCCAATTTAATGCGTAATTTATATGATAATTGCTACAGAATTAAATATATATATGTCATTGACTCACCGCAATTTTGTTCATCGGATCCATCTCGGCATTCTGGAATTCCGTTACAGATGGAGGATATTGGAACGCATCTTCTATCCGAAATGCACATATATTGATCCGCGGCACATTGACCTGGTGTTGGCTTTGGCGGCTCTAATAAAATAAAAGTAAATATAAGAGAGAATTTAATTAGATTAAAAGTAAATAGGATTTAAGAAATTAAGAAATTATGTCGTTTCACAGACTGCAACTTTACATTTATTACTCCAAATTACGCATTGTATTAATCTATGTTGGCTATACATTTCTTTTTTTTTATTACTTATTTTTAGTTATTTTTTAATTAGTGCGTTATGTTGCTGATTAAGTGATTACTCCTTTATACTCACCGCATTCCTCCGGCTCGTCGGAACCGTCGGAGCACTCGATGAATCCGTTGCATCTTTGATCGGCGCGGATGCAATCTCCATTGGCGCACTGGAACTGGTCTCGAGTGCATCCTAAAATAAGAGCTTGCATTGTACGTTAACGAGACAACCGTGAGTCATTGATCCGTTAAAGAACGATATAGATGAGACACAGATACATGTAAAATGTCAGCCATGGAGCCATCATATGTCCGTTACAATCTAAACAATGATCTAACGCCGAAATATAAATACGATGAAGGTAAAGATTTTATTACCTAGAAAAGACTGTTAAATGTAATCTAGAGCAGAGCTGTCTGATTATTACGCGTTCCTTTTCTCGTTCGTCTCGCCTCTTTTCACCACTTTAGACAGCTTTGGTCTAGAATCTAGATCAAATATATCGGAAATCAGTTCATATAGCATAAAATCGGTGAGTTAATTTAACGTATTTTTACAAGAGAGAATAACGTGACAATAATAAAAAGTATCATAAATGATATAAATAATTTTTCAATTATTTATGCTATATGCACTGATTGTCATCTACGAACACTTAAATATAATTCATCATTCAATATAACTTTTATAGATTCAGGAGGAAAGACATTTATAATCCCTTAATTTTTATGCATGATTTTGTCAATTTCGATCAGCGATATACTGATGCTGTTAATAAATAGATTATATATTGACTTTTTCAAGTATTTTTCCTTCCGAAATGTAATGCACAAAAATGTATAGGTAAAATTGTACTTTCCTCATGCTATGCATGCCAAATAGGATGTATGCCAAACGTTCTACCTACGAGAAAAATAAACGATCTAAATTTTACGTCAGGCAGAGATGCACTATTATTTATAAAAATGCGCCGGGTAATATATAAGACTGCGATTATAAATTTTAGAAATATAATCAAGTCTCTACTGGAACAACCTACACATCTTCTATTCAGCTGCTAACACAGATTGGCAGAAAAGAATAGATCTAAGAGAATCTGGTGTTTTCAATGATATTTTAGAATATTATCGCGGATAAAACTTTGATATTATTCAAAAGAGCGGAACAAAAATTTAAAATAATATAACTTTCCATCTAAACAATAAATTCGCAAAGAAATATATAGTAATTTGTTCAAAAAATAAACAAAAATTGAAAAAAATATTTATTAAAGACTGAAAATTAATTAAAATCAATTTTCCATTAATAAAGAGGGAAAAAAGGAGAGAGAATAGTACAATAATACTGAAGAATATTGTAAATGATTATTAAAAAGAATATAAGAAAAACTAATTTTCTTTTCACGTAAAATTTTTAACGTTATTTATACGATAGTAACACTAATATAAATTTGTAAATACACGAAGAATTATTCGTATGTTGACGTACGAACAATTTCTTCTCTATAGCTACGAAATTGCTCAATGAATCGTTGGGGTGAGAATGAAAGCGCGCGAGACTTCGATGCGGGGTGCGTGTGTGTCACCAGATTTTCGAGATCTACAAATAATCTAACCGAAGCAGTACTGTTCGTCGGTAAAGTCGCGGCAATCGTAGAAATGGTCGCAGTGGTGGGTTTCGGGGATGCAAGTGCCGTCGGCGCAAACAAAATCATCCGGAGCACAACTCCTCGGCGTGCTCAGATTTGTCGGCGGCACATCAATATTTGCATCTGTGTCTGGGCTGTAAGCCTTGTTATCCGGATTCACACCGGCTATCACCCCCGGCGTCTCTGGACGCCCCTTCGAGGAGACACTATCCGAGGCGTCTACACCTAGAAGTAACTCAATCTGAGCTGCGGTTTCTCGTAGATGTGTCGGAAGATGTATTGTTGCGACGCGGTCGCAACTGATATACGCCTCGAAAATCTCGAGGAAAAGCCTTCTTCTTGTCCGATGACCGTATGCATAATCAGGACTTAAAGCGAATCCGGATGTAATAAAGTAAACCTGAGACACAAATAGGCGTTTGTGCCTTCATTCATATTCCAAGTATCTCCTCTCATCTTCCGTCGAATTCAATCTTAGAAGTAAGATTTATTTAGATTAACGATTTTGAAAGACAAGATTATTGGCGGCTTAAGGAGCTTCAGTATAATAATCACTTAGTATAATAATCATTTGCTCATTGCGCAAAATACAGTAGAGGTGGGATTAAATTTTATATCCATCTACAAAAGATCTTTATTCATTCAATTCATAATAATGACGTAAGGTTATAAGTTTAAGTTTGCGTTCTCGAATCGTGCTCCCAATGTCTTTTAAGTCCTGGCTATGAATACGTTCCAAAGGCTACATCGTATCAATACAATGATAAATTAACCAACGAGGGAGAATTCTGTATCCATCTTCTGAATATTTTATCAATAAGGATCATTTCCTCGAACCTAAATTAACGTAGGTCTTTATGAAAGAAGACAACACAGGAACATCGCGAGTGGCGATTCCGCAAATTTAACTTACCTCGACGGCAGAGTATCTCGTCTTCGTCGTGCGGACAATCGGCACGTCCATCGCATACTGCAGTTGGAGGTATGCAACTGCCATCACTGCAGATGAAACTACCCTCGTGGCATTCATGACCTGAACTGCCAGTCTCTCCGCTCTCCGCTGCAAAATGGAGCGACATGCGTTTATCAAAGTTGAACTTATTGAATACAAAATTCGTTAAATAAACGAAAAAAATTTTCTTTAACTTCCTGAAGATGCTTTAACTTGATGTCAAAATTTATAATACAGTTAATGATGCAGGTCTGTAAGACATATTTAATTTATGTTAAAAGATCCTAATCTAGAAATCAAAGAACATAAATTATATAAAATATGACATAATTTTTGTATAAAAAAGACCGAATACTATTTTGATAAGAAAGTATATTAAATAGAATAATTCAAATTTGCAGATAAAACAATTGAATTGTTTAACATTTTTCTCAAAAAGATTTATAATTGAATATATGTTCAATAGGCCTACCGTTAATTCCAAAGGTTAAATTTAATGAAAAATCTTAATTAACTCTTAGTACACGATGATTTTCCAGCTTTTTATTACAATGGATTATTCAAGTATATTAAAATTATCAAGTAATGTATTCTTAAATATAATCTTTAATATCTTTCGAAAATATTTATAAGCATATTTTAAAAAATTGTATATAAATGTTATAACTAATTATTTGATGTATCTAATATTTCAAAGAAAAGAAATGTATAGGACACAAATTGTAAAAAACCTAATTGTATGTACTAAGTTACATTTCAAGTTATAAAATACATATATTTTACTTCAAAATGTCCTCATAACAGAGCATAGAATGTTTTATGTAATATTTGAATATCGAGAATTTTCGGTGAAACAGCAGAAAATATATCTATCCAAAGATATCCTTACGGCAATTTCGTTCGTCACTAGCATCATGGCAGTCGATATTGTGATCGCAGAAGAAGTTCTTATTGATACAGACGCCATTGTCGCAGGGTAGTTGACCGTCGGGGCATTCTGCAAAAACCAATCAACTCCGTTGAATGGCAAATAAAGGCAGGAGGGATACAAACGATACGGCGAAGATTCTTTGTACATGTGAGCGGTACGAAGCGTCAATGTGCACGTTTGTCTAATAACAATCGTTCGCGAGCGTCTATTCTACTTTTACCAGGTCATTTAATGCGAAGAATATCCTCGTATGAGCCGGAAAAAATTGCGAACGGCTTCGATGTGTGTGCAGTGCAACTCTCACCCTTGCACGAAGAAATTAGATGCGCGAGGCTGACCAAGTGCCTTCGATAATTATCGATCGATAAAGAGTCCCGCGAGAGGTGCTTCCTCCTGCGATGGACGAAGGGCGATAAAAGTACGCCGGCCTCGTCAAATAAGTATCGTGCACATTGCCGCGTGCCGTATTATCTCAAGAAACATGGAAACGACGACGGCGCGATGCCGCGTGCACGCATCACCTCGGATGATCAAACTGACTGAGAAAGAAAATTATTTAAATGTCATAGTTTTCGGTCTATAATTTCATGCCATTTCGCTAAACCGTATCATAATATATCTGAGAAATTTATAATAATAACCCCGCGTATAAATGTCGCTTCATTTTATATTAAACCGGTTTTACTTGAATGTTTTCACGTGTGGTGTTTTTTTATATATTAATAAACTGGCTAAACTAGTTTCTCAAATGTTGGAGAGGACCATCGTGTAAAACATGACATTTGCAAAAGTTCGTGTTACGTCAGTCGCGAGCTTTTACGCGCTGTACGCAACAGTAGAACGCGGTTTGTGCACGCGTCAGCGCGCGGTGTGGAAAATTACGGAGACGTAAATAACCGGAGGTAAAAGGGTATCAGAGAAACGTATATATACAAATACAATTTGTATACACTGATATATATATATATATA